ATTGGCATTTTCAACATCAAACAAATAATTTCTCCTTTCCTGTCTTTTTCCATTAGAAAATTTCTGGCTTAAAACAAACTCTAGTCTCTTCATGTCTTTTAAAAATCCTAAATTTTTCTAATTTTGACTTTGAATATATAGATAAGGTAGAATCAATGGCAAAAATAAAAGTAGCAATTAACTGATCAACTAAACAACAAAATTACTAAAGAGAGAAATTTTCTTTCACAATATATTGTGTTTATTCAAACTCAGTTGGTTGTTGTCCCTCTTCTCTTCCTCAAGAGACCAGCTCTTGAAGTTTGAACAGTCAACAAAGCAAGAGGAAAAGGGCTAGAGAAAGAGGAAGATCATGGCATTTTTTACATAAGCAAAGACATGTTAAAATGCAGCTTCAATGACCATAGATAACTTTTTCTTTTTTCCTATCTAAACCAAAAGAATCCATATTTGCAGCTATCATGGAATCTTTTATCCTAATTATGTAGAACATAACAATTGTTTTAATAAAATAAATAAATAAATATTTATGCATAAAGCTCTTTTTTGATGTGAGATAAGAGCTGGCAAAGCATAAATTATAGATATTGATTTTGAGTTGAAGTATAGAGATTCCAGATTCCAATTATATGGATTCATAAGCATATTAACGACCTGATTGCAAGGAAAACAAATATTCATATTTGTTTAAAATGAGTAATTAAATATAGGGAAAGAAGCTTGCTATTACTAATAATATAATATAGTATTAATTGATTTTTTTAAACCTTGATTTAAGATTCTGTTTGCACATTCAAAAGTCTTATTATAAAACATGCTAACAATTTTCATGTAACTGAAGGATAGTGGTAATTAAAAATGTGGCAATCCAAAAAACAGCAAATGAAGTCAATAATTTTGATCAAATGCATTATCGCTAGATCCCAAAACATGAACCCTAATTAACAAGTAACTAGGTGAAAGGTGAATTACTAAACACAAATAAAGTTTACTTGAAAGTTTTGTTATTTAATAGAATTATTAGAGTTCGACACTATATTTCATTTCGGGCCATTGGCAACATCAGAATCCAACAATATAGTATACAGCATCTTTCATTTTCAGAGAAACCATTCACCAGTAACAGATTTGATTGTTCATTATATGTTTTAGGTGAGCATAAATATAGAACAAAATTAAAGAAATAAACAGTTGGAAAAGAAAAAGGGGAGTTCAAATAGAAAGTGTATAATTCACTGAGAAAAAGAAATGGAACACTAGAAACCAGACCATTATTTACAAAATATTATGCCCCATTCTGAACCTACATATGTAGTAACAATACTCCGTGGAAAATGTTGTCATCTTGGTCAGGCATCTGAATGCCCCTCTGAGGGATACGTGCCAGCGACTGGTGTTGTTGAGGCTGAGCTTCCACTGCTACCACTTTGTTTTCCAGGTGCAACAACTGACATTACTTTCTTTACCAGCTGTTTAAACATCTTAACCTTAACCTTACCCCTCTTTCGAGGGATCCTTACTTCTGGCTTCCTCTCTGGAGTCTTATCATTTTTCATGGTTTTGACTTTTGAAGTTTTCTAGGAATTCTGTTTACAAGTAGAGAAGAAAGCAGAGGAAAAATTAATGGCAGAGTTTGGAAGGAACTGAAAAATATTAAGAAGTGAAGATTTATATGTAGTGAAATGAAAGAAAAAGCCATATGGGTCAGAGGGTTTTCACATAGTGTGAAAGGGTGTTTGAAATACCAAATCAAGGAAATCAACTTCTAATGTGGGTTTTGAAATAAGTATCAAAAGGACCTATCAAGACAGCTATTGATCAAGTTTTACCGATTTAGTAAAAGTATCATTGATAAGCTTAAAGCCATTTATGGCCTTAATTTTTTCTCATATTATTATTCAAAAAGTTACAAGAAATTTATACACCTAGGTGAACTGATACAGGAACTGGGATCTAAATTCCTTCTTATATATATATATATATATATGTATATGTATGTATGTTTGTATGTATGCCAGGTATTAATCTAAGTTTTTTTTTTTTTTTATTAAGGAAAGAGTGGATTCAAACCTGTTCTTTGAGTAAAGGATCATGCATCAATCATTGGGCCAAATGCTCAAGTGCCTAAGTTCTTTACTTAGAATCCATTTATTCATTTATCAATACCAAGTCCATTAATCTGTGACTGTATATTCCAAAATCAATAGCTTATGATACTGCCTCTATTCCTCCTTATATCTTCCCTTCATCATGGAGATAGGCATGGCCCTTGTTTCAAAGGGTGAGTTTAATTGTATATTCAAAGGCCATTCAACAAGTTGCAGTGTTTTAAGGCTTTTTTTTTTCTTTTTCAGAAGAATATGCGTCCCAATCAGTTTCCAGAAGAATGGTAAAATAAACACTTGACAGGTGTGCAGGAAATGAGGAAAAAAATACAGATGTTGAAGTTCACTGTTCAGTGAAAAGAACTGCCCAAGAAGGGTTCAGAAATCACCTATTTCCTTGGACTTACTAGGTTCATCCATATCTGATAAAAAATCTTTTTCCATACCGATTTATCACTTAATCCTTTTTCTTTCCAGTCCTCACATTCACAAAGCTCCAGTCTCCAAGTGACTCATAAATAAACAATGTGAAACCTTTGGTTTATTTTAAAAATATGAGGTGCCAAATAAGCCAGCATTACATCCTTTGACTGCTGACTGTGATAGAAACATGAAAAGTACAAAAATTATAGTTAAAAGGTAAGGCATATATATAAATTGAAAGTCTTAGGTCAGAATTCAGATGTTGATAGATTATAAAACATATGAAAAAGAAAGATAGAACGAACCTAATAAAGATGAAGTTTGAAATTGAAAGAAATTTTCTCCTCCCATTTATATCTGGCCAGGCAAAACTCCAATTCAAATTGCAACAATTATTGTTTTCAAATGTTAAGGACAATAGCTAAATGTTCTGGTTGAGATAGATCAGTTAATAAATTCAACTTGAGACATAGCTGAAAACCCTATATTTTTTAATGAGAAAAGGCATGATCTGCATTGAAGTAATAGAAAAAAAAAAGCTCAAAATTTCATGTGAATCATAGAACATATAATGGTTTATAGATAAAGGTAATCTTGACATTCTTTTCAAACCTTTGTCCAAGTAATCTTCACTTTTCAAGTTTTTGTATTATATCATTACCATTTTTTTCACTTTATCTTTACTCTGCTCTTTTTTTTTTTTTATGATTAGTCAAAAATACAAAGTGGGTGATCCAAGCATATGCTTCAGAAAAATCACATGAAAATGCAAAGAGAGAAAGGTAAAGAAAAGGAAGTGAAGTCAAATTATTTTCTGCATTTATCATTGATTAATCACTGAAAGATTAATTTAGCATATTACTGATCTCCCTTGATCTTGCTATTGCAATATGGGAGTCTCAGGTCACAAACTTTTTCCAGCGTACAGAATCAATAGTATTTTGTAAGCTGAATTGTTTCAGCAAAATAATTGAAAAATCATTTGTTTATATATGTTTTTAACAAATGTTAATAAAAATCTCCAATGCCACTGACATTGATCCAAGTACAGAATATTTATTAATTCATTATGAATGTAATGAAAGTAACATAAATCAACAATCGTTCTTCACTTTTTGAGAGTACATATTAAACCAAACTCGATGAGTTGCATTACTCATGCTTCCTTCTCCTTCTGAGTGTCATGACTTTATATTCAGGAATAAGAAGTTTTGGATTAGATCTTGACCTATAGAGAGGCATTCCGGCAGTAAATTCTTCGTTAAGTGGCATTTCCCCTTCCATAACTTCCACAAATATTTGATCATCTTCTGCATTTGCAAACCCTCTGCACAGAACAAGGGTCACCAAGAACGTAGCTATGAACCCTGCAGAGATTTTCATGATAAATGTTGCAGCCATGTTGGGGCCCCTCAGAAATGTTCAATGTAATATTTTTGGATGAAAAATGAAATTTAAAGGTAGGAAAAGGGGGGAGATAAAAGGGTAAAAGATGTTTGGTTTTACACCGACATTGCCAAATTTTACGGGTTGTTAGATATGATGGGAATTAATGCCTTATATTGCTTTCTATTTTTAGTGTTATAAAGTTGTTGTAACTTTCAAATTTTGTTAAAACTTTGTGGTTGAAAGAGTTTTTCATTTGTTGGGTTCAGTACGCTTTGGAAATTGCGATGTTTTAAGGTTTCTCCCTTAGTGGACTATTTTTGGTATTAAAAAGTGGTCATATGCAACATAACTTTTTTCTTTCCATGCACGAATTTGCAATTAACTTTGCCCATTAGCAAGAAAGAAAGCCCAAAATAACGTGGGCCCAATTAACAAATATTGAGCATTGTACAAAAGCCCAATATTTTTTAATGGATCGAGCTCGGCGGATCCAGGTCAGACCTCAAAAAGCCCAAAATTGGAAGAGTTAGCCCAAACTTGTCCATCTATTATTGATTTTTATTATTAAAAAATGAATTAATTAAATATATATATGTGTGAATTATATTTAAATAAAATTTTGTATTCTTCTATTATATCATAATTTTTAATTTTCATTTTCAAGCTACTTAAATTCAAATTTTAGGTGAATTCGGATTTTAGAATTATGATTTCTTCAATTTTAGACAATACCATTAGAAAAAATGGAGCTTGTTAGCATTAAATTTAGCATTACAATGTTCTTTTTATAATAAAATTAGAATTTTTTTCATATTTACCTAAAATGAGTGAACAAAAATACATATGATAAAAAGAAAAAAAAACATTAAAGAAACAATTATATTATTCTATATATGAATAAAAAATTTTGTAAACTCTACAAATGATTTTATATAAATTATACATGTCTATAAAAATTATATTAATTGAAGAATAATAGTTGTATTATTATATTAATATTTTTAATTATTACCTTAAAAAATAAAAATAAAATATAACTTGTTAGCTTTTAATTGGGAAAGAATTCTTTAAAATCAACGTGCCAAAATGCTTCATCTTAATCAATCTATTCTGTAACTTATAATAAAAATTATCTCCAATTGAGCAAACACCCATCTCAGCAATGTTTTCAAAAAATTAAGGGTTAAATTTGGGAAGAAAACATATTTGAAACTTTCAGCACAATGTATGTTTAACACCTGTTAAATAAAAACAAAAACGTATGTCTAACACCTGTTAAATAAAAATTGAACAAAAATCTTTTTTTGTTTGAGAGAAAGGGAGAGAAAATGAGTTACCTATTATCAATGCTGAAGAGGAAGAAAGGAGTCGACACGATCATCTAAGACACCATCGACAAGGTCTCGGTCCTCTGCTTGTTTGTTGATAGCTTACAGAATAGAATATTGTTGCAGAGAGAAGAAGCCCAACAGATAAGTGGTGATGATATGATTATTTTTGTACATAAATGTTGAAAATTGACTCTAACAGAGCAGATCTAGGAAGAGTAAGAGAGTTTGTTTACTTAACTTTTTTGTGTTTGTTTTTATGAGCTGGTTGCTTTTAGGTAACATAAAGAGTGAGAAATCAAAAGGAAAAAAAAAGACAATAAAAAAGGGAAAAAAGGCAAAAAATGGACTGGTTACTTTCAGTAAATTAGAAGAAGTTGTCGCCAATAAAGGAGAATGAAGGTGATGGTTGACCTCTTGTTGGGTTTGAGTTGGGATCTCAAGTTCATGGCAGCTTGTAGTTGTTGGGTTGAAGTGTTGATGTGTTTTGGAAATTGTTTTCCTCTTAAAAGAAATGGAAGACAATTTTCGTGTTTATGGTTTTTTTGTTGACCAAAAGTTATTTTCAATTGACTTTGTTAATTTCAGTTATCTAAACAATGGAAATTAAAGAAATAGATTTCCAAAAATCATTTACGTGGTTATCAAATGGAGCCTTAATTTTAAATATTTCTTTGCAAGTTTACCAATAATCAATAGCTGTAGTATGTAATTTAGATTAGCCAAAGTCAAAAATATTAATTCAAGTTTTGGATGATTTTGATGATCAAATGACTCAGCTGCTTATTAAAGAAGAGGTGCATAAATGGCAACAAGAAGGTGCCCATATTGTGTATTGGCACCATGTAATTAGAGATGGTTACAAAGCTGGTAATCTTAAGTCTGCCATGAGTTGTAGCTATGTTAAAGACTATGAATTTGTTGCCATTTTCGATACTGATTTTCAACCCACCCTTGATTTTCTTAAACGACCTGTTCGCCATTTTAAGGTAACTAATTTAATTATTTCTATTTTGAGTTTGGTTGCAGTTTAGTAAATTCAAGCTCAATTTAGTATGTTTAGGATTAGTTGAATTGAATTTTTATTTTGGTCATATGCTTACAGGATAATGAGGATGTAGGATTGGTTCGGGCAAGGTGGTCATTTGTGAACAAGGATGAGAATTTGTTAACAAGATTGCAAAACATAAATTTGGCATTTCATTTTGAGGTAAAGCAACAAGTGAATGGTGTTTTCACTAATTTCTTTGGGTTTAATGGGATTGCTGGGGTTTGGAGGGATAAGGCTTTGGAGGATTATGGTTGGTGGTTAGAGAGAACCACAGTTGAGGAGATGGATACATCTTTCAGTGTTCATCTTCAAGAATGGAAATTCATTTTCCTTAATGACATTGTTTGACGGTGTTAGTGACGCCTTTGGCTACAACTTGGACAAAAGCCGCTGTTATCTAGTGTTATCAGCTTGGCATTTTGCAACTCAACTAGGTTTCTTATCGCTTCTTATGATGAAAGCTATTGGGTTAGTAAATGCTATTAGCTTTCTAAATTCCTAATGAAAACACAATTCAAAGGAAAAAAATGTCATTCTAATTATTTTTCCTGATTGTATATATGTTCTTTGTTTAACTTTACAAAAAATTTAATAGGAAAATATGGTGGTGATCAATTTATAGGGGTTACATTCAAAATGGCAAGGTACCTCTGACCGTCTTCCAGTTACCTATCCTTCTATTCATTTTTTTATATTAACTTCAACGAGATGAGGTTTGTCCTACTCCTCTTTCAATTACCTATCCTTAAAAAATTTTGTTGACTATTTTTAGGTTTGCGCATGCCAATCCATTACATTTGGATGTGTTCCAAAGTGTGGCACGATTTGAGGCTAAAGTGGTTGCTATGACAGCTGCTTTACTTAGCAGTAAAGAGAAGGCTTTTGGTGGTGAAGTATGTGGAGACATAACATAAGGAAGAACTAAGAGCATATTATTAGCTAAGAAAATGTCTCGAGATTATATGAAGATAAAAAAAGGATTATAAGTCTATAAATATATATGTTTCCTGATATTTACTTCAATAATTTTATTACTTTTTTATTTACCCTATTGTATCTATAGTAGTGTTGGTACTTTGGCATAGAGTCATAGTTTTGCAGGTTAAAGGAGAAAATGCTTATTAGTTTTGTCTTTAGCCATATGATGATCCTGCATTTATAGGAAACACAGTAAGTTTGACAGCATATCTCATTGTTTAATATACAACTCTTTTTTACTTCACCGTTTTTTCTTCTTCTCCTATTAGCAAAATGCATAAATGTTTTGCATTTAAGTCTTTCATTTACAGGGAAATGTTCAATGCTTTCCACCATCCTTACTTGTCTCTTTTTGGTAACTCTATACCATAAGAGACAAAACATCTGAAAGTCTTTTTTGAAAGGTTTTATGGAACTGAAATCCATGAAAGTTAAGGAATATCTAGCCATGTGAAACCAAAGTCAACATTTGTGAAATTTTGCCGAACCAACTACTTGCAAGTTGTTCATCCTAAGATGGAATTATCCTTTTTTGGCAATTTGAGCATTAGAGACATGGTGAGTTCTTATCAATTCCCAGACATTACTTTTTTTATCCTTATTTATTGAAATGGCGAAGTGGGTATGGCTTCTACACTACTTAGCCCTTGCTTTTGAGCCTGAGGCATTAATCTTTCAAATAATCAAAGGATGTAGATTTTCTGAAGTCTTCATGGAAAGTGTAGCTGAGGAAGCATTCCTTTCGCTGGACATTAAACGACAATCAGAACCACAGGTGGCATTTACCGTTGTTCTTGGATTTAGGATTGGTAAAACTGTAATACAGTGCCAGGTCTATCTTTCAATTAAAAACAAGTTAACCTGTTGATCCTTTGTTAGTCACAGAGAAGTTTTCAGGTACATTTGGACCCACAACATAGTCGATTGAACTGGATGCCATTCTTTTGACTCTTTCTTTTTTTTTTTTTTGGGAACTTAGATTAAATGGCTTTGCCTGGTTGCTGTGTATGTTATGGGGATATGAAACATGGTCACTTGGGCAATTTGTCTCCTTGTTTTTATGGCCTTGATGATAAAGGAAAGGCTCATTGACCAATAATTTATTTTGTAAGACAGATCTCCCAATTTTGTTAATATTAGGCCAATGATGCTTTAGCTATTTTGCATTATTGCCTTATTCTTACGCTTTTGTATGTATATAAATTGTATAGGTTGAAAACATTTCATATCCACCATCTGTATGTATATAGCATGGGGTGCCCATGCCATGTGTTTTGCCTGAAAGGTTGTTTATATTTCTACTAATATGAATTTTGCATGGTATTTGATGGTAATTTGGAGATACCATGATTGAAGTTCAAGAATAACTACCATTTTCTGCTTTTTACTCCATTGCAGTTGGTAAATCCCATATTTAATTTTTGTTTATAATACATATACTCTTCTCAAATTTCTCATTAAATTGTTCTTGGTTGCTTAGTTTTACAAGCATTTGGTTAAGCAATATAATGATAAAATGAAAGAAAAATTAAAAAAAATTCAGAACAGATGAATGAAATTTTTATGAGCATTGTTTATTCTTGTTGCTTACTTTTATCTTGAAAATTTTTAATGGAATTTGTAGCGCAATTGTTAAGCTAGTTATTGATTCATTGTTTGAAACTCGTAGTGTTTAGGGTTTGGTTTGTTGTTTCAAAATAAATGATGTTCTTAACTTATTTTAATTCTAGGGTTAAATTATAAGTATATAATTTAATTTTACTCCCATGGCAAAACAGATCTACAACCTAGTTTATACAATTAATTTTACTTTGTCTAACCTTCATATAGGTTGCCACTTGACAGTCTCACTCCTTTTTTTTTTTCCTTTTTTTCTTTTTATTTCTAATTTTTTATGCGTATTTAATAAATCATTTTATCAAAAAGTTGTATGGGATGCATTTGATATTATTAATTCAAAAATAATTTTCTTGATTTTTTTAATTAGATAATTTATCATTTCTTTTTTTATTTTAGTTTCTTATTTTAATTTCTAATTTTTTCCTTTTTCATGCATATTTTAATAAATTATTTTATTAAAAAAATTTATGTAGGATCTATTTGGTACTATTAATTAAAAAATAATTTTCTTGATTTTTTTATTTTTTAATTAAGTAATTTTTTAAGAAATATATATTTATAAAGGTGTTAACATATCATTGAATTTTTTATTTTTTATAATTTTTGTTTTTATATTCGATCTAATAGGTACTTTTTTATATTTCTTAATTAGAGATTGGGTCAAAAATATTTTTTTCTTAAAAATTGAAGTTCTGTTACATATAGATTTAGCCTACAGTATTGATCTTACATATTTATTTTGACTAAACTTTAACCTTCATCATGGTTTTTCGTGTCAATTTTTTTATTTTATATTATGTGAAAAGAAAAAAAAGTTGTAGAAGGTTTAGTGATTTTATTTATTTTATTTTATATTCTGTGAAAAAAAAAAAGTTGACAAAAAGATTAATAATAACAAAAATTAAGAGAAGAAGCAAGGTAAAGAAGGATTGTGCTAAAGAAAAGAAATGGCATCTCACCTTTTCAAAGTGTTGACATGATACCTTACGTTTCTTTCTTTTTTGGCTCTTTTGTTTTTTTTTTTTTTCAACTTTTTTGGTTTTAATTTAGATCAAATTTGTGGAAAAACTAATAAAGGTGTCTATGTAACACTCTAATTTAGATTTTTTTCTTTTATTTGTTTTAATTAGATAAAATTTTCAACAAAAAAACCAATAGATAAAGATGGTAAGACAATTATTATCCAATGAATTTTGATCCAGCTTAATAAGATAAGGGGTAATTTATTTTTTTTAACAATTTTCTTTTTATTTATTAATTTTAAATTTAGATAAATTTTATAAAAAAATAATATTAATGTTGTTGTCGATGTTGCACTCTCATTTTTTTTATTATTTAATTAATTAAATTTTATAACAAAATGAGTCAATAGATAAAAATAATAAAATAATCAATATTTGATAGATTTTGATTTATCTTGATTTAATATAGGTATTTTTGTAAAAAAATTGATTTTAAATTAAGTTAGATTGATTTTTTTAGGAAAATTGGCACATATTATAAGAGAATTTAAGATGTTTTATCAAAAACATTCTGTGATATATTTAAAAGTATATAAATTTTATTATTTATTATTTAATTATATATGTATTATATTAATAAAATTATTATTTTATGCTTATTTTAAAATATTAACATTTTAAATTCAATTTTGATATCTATATGGCATCTTAATGCTCTCTCTCTCTTTGCTTTTTTGTTAATTGTGACTTTACTCTTTTTGTTTTTTAAATTTTATTTTCAATTTTTTATTAATAAATATATTATTTGATACTTTAAGATATTAATATTTTAATCTCAATTATAATATCAATATAGTGTCCTAATGAGCTCCATTTTCTTTTCATTGTTTTTATTTTTCCTTTTTCTTTTTCTTTTTTCTTTTTTCTCATTTTTTTAATTGGCTTTTTTTTATCTTTCGTTATTTTTATTTTTTAATCAAATAATTTTATTAAAAAATTAATAAATAAAATTAAAAATAAAAATTTCACCCGCAACAGGCACCTCCCAGTAAAAATAAAATTCTCAAACGAACAAACCCTAAGTGGGCCCCCCAATAGTCTCAAAACGGACTCAAGTTCGACCCGGTATCAGTTTCCGAGCCTCCTGAAGAAAGCTTCAGTTTTCTTTCTTTTTGCCAAATCGGTTCTTCAAAAGAAATTCGGGTTCGTTTCAGAAATTTCTTCAATGGTTCTCTCTCTCTTCACTTAATCATTCTTAGCTTCTTTCGCATATTTTCAGGTAAAAAGCCTAACACTCTTTCTCTCTCTCTCTCTCTCTCCCAAGATCCAGGGAAATTTTAACGTTTTATTTTCCTTTTTAAATTTGAACATTGAATTTTTATTATGTTTATGATTTAATGATTTGAGGAAAGTATAATTCTATGATTTTGGGTGGTTTTTTTATTTATTATTGTTTTTGTGAAATATTTTGGGTTATTTTAGTGAAGTTGTAGGTGAGAAGATTTGGAACCGTTAAGTTTGATTATAAATACGCAAATCGTTTTATTTTTCTTTTAGTTTTCGGTTAAATCTGGGAAATTTTTTTATACTTGTTTGGAAAGAAATGATTATTAGAATTGTAATTACGAGGTATGTGTTCTATATTCTTTCGATGAATTTAAGGTTGTGTATTTTGAAAGGTTAAAAAAATGGTTTTCTTCGTTTTTGTGCTTCCAATATCGTACTTATAGACATGCTATTATTTATATAGGCATAGTTGGTGAAGTAGGACTAGTGCTTCAGCATCTTGTATTGTGTTGACAATTTCGGGGCTGAACTTTAGGGTATCATAGTTTAAAAAGTAATTGAATCAGAAATTGTTCCAAGAAAAATTGCTGTATTGCCGAGTTGACAACAGTATTTTCTGCAACTTACCTTAGGAGTTCAAAATGCTGGTGGAGGGTGTGATATTTGACACATAGGAGACAGTTATTTCTATAGTTATTACCTCAAAGTGCATGATTCTGGAAAAGCTAGAGGAAGATCTTCTTTAGGTACTAATAGTTCGTTTTTGTCTTCAAGCTAATTTCTTGAGTATGTTCTTTGACTATAGTTAAAAACCTTGTAGAAGGTTCTGTTTAGCTCCTGATTATTCATATTTTTAATGCTAATTTCTTGATAATTGGTTCTTCAAGTAGAGTTATATAGGGAATTATTGTGACGACAAGTAGATGTGATGGATCATCATGAGGATGAATGTCGGGCTGGAGGTGAACACCATGGTAAACAAGATGATGAGGTAAGATTGATGGACCTGGTGAATTGCATATGGATGCATGAAGAAGTTTACTATTTGATCATTGTTCTTGTTCTTTTTCTTCATAAGAGGTTACTTTGATACGACACACTTTTATATGATTTATTCCAATTGCAGGAAGCTGTTGCTCGTATTGAGGAAATTAAGAAATCAATTGAGGGCAAAATGGCTCTTCGTCAAACCAATTTGAATCCTGGAAGGCCTGGTAGTAAACTTTATTACATTTTAGGGTTTTTAAATCCCTGTTGACTGGTTATGGAAATGATTAAAATTGTTGATGTGACTGGTTTTATTTTCTATTGTAGCAATTTTAGCTTGTGCTGGAAATAAAAATGCCTGTAGTTATCCAGTAATTCATCCTTAATTCTTATTGACATTTGCTATAAATTAGAAACTAAATAAAGAGAGGACCATGGCTTATTGTACTTTTAGCAATGAAGGTCAGTGCTGAGATAAGGCTGCTTTAAGTAGGGTTGTAAACTTATTATTAGATGCTGCTGAAAGAATGGGGTTTGCAAGTTAGAAACTCAGATTTTGGAGCTTGTGGAGAAACTTTGTGTCTTGGCATTTAGACCATTCAACTCTTTAATTATGCTTCTCATTGTTGTTTAGAAATTGAATTCCTTTCTTACCACTTTCTTCCATGAGATTTTTGGTTATTTCTAGTTCTGTCTTCCCTTCCACTTGAATCAACTTGACTTTCTCTTTGGTGCCCTGGGCCTATATTGCAAATAATCAAACCATCTAAAACAATCTTCCTTTAGGTTTTCCTAGATACTGTTAAGTCCACTGTACTTGATAGCTATTTAAAGTGCTGGACTGCTAGCCTTTCTAAGTTTTGCCCATACTATTTTTTTCTCTCTAATTCATCTTAATTGGTTGTGATTATATGTTTTATACTAGTTGTCATCTGTAGAATCCCTTCTTCTTCTTATTGTATTTTCATGAAATATTCAATTTTTTTTTTCTTTGACCAATTCAATTTCTTTCTAGGGATATTTATACTCATCTGGTGAGGTCTGTTATGTCATAAGATATTCTATTTCAATAATATGTGAACCAATTATATTGGAAGTTTATCCTCAACAAAAGTGTATTAACACTAAATGGATCCTGAACAAAGTGCTCTTTTAATGTTTTTGAAGATGTTTTAGGAGGCTTCCTTGATGATGACTTATGTACTTTACTTGATGGACAATTGCTAGAAAATCCATCGTGAATAATTCTTGGACTTGTAAAATACCTCAAACTACTGGTCTCTAATATGTGTGAGGGTATAAGATAGAAAAGCTTTAAAGAAAAGTGGTGTATTTTCCTTTGGGTTATTTGAAGCTTTAGATTAGGTAATGAGGCAGAAGAAAATGTGAGAGAAGATGAGAAGCGTGACTTTGCAGAGTTATCTCTCATTTATTTAATTGAAGGAAAATGAACCTTACCAAGCAGAAGTGAATGAGCAAGCAAATTTTCTGTTCCTTCTTCCTTTTATGCCTATTATTATTATGGGTGATGGAATTCATGCACCTGTAAGACTTATCTTTTTCTTTCCTTATTGAGCTCAAAATAATATTTGTGGATTAACTTCAATATAATCTAGGTTGCGGGTATTTTTTTTGGAGTTTGATTTTGAATAACTGTCACATAGGCATTAATATGGTTTACTCTTGGTTTTAGACTCTGGGTTCCTCAGGACATTGGATTCCAGCATTAAGCGCAATACAGCTGTTATTAAAAAATTAAAGCAGATAAATGAAGAGCAGAAGGAAGGATTAATGGAGGAGCTACGAAATGTCAATTTAACTAAATTTGTTAGTGAAGCTGTGACTGCTATTTGTGATGCCAAGCTTAAGAGTTCAGATATACAGGCTGCAGTTCAGGTAGCTTTAATGTTGATCTAGAAATTGTATCATGATATTGAGATTATTTGGTCATCCATGTTATCTCAGTTAATTTGCTGTGAGTGTAAAATGTCACAAAAAATATAATGTTATTTCCAATTCAGACATGTAGAGCTAATAGTAATACGTTTGGTCAAATTTTGAAATTTGAGCTTTTCTTATATTCTCTTCAGCTGAAAATGATACATGGTTTCACGAGCAAAAACCCAAAGAGTTGAATGAATCATAGCTGTTTAAGCAAGGTAATTAAGCAGCAAGCATGTAGGTAATTTTGATTTAAATAAGAAAGAAAAAGAAACCTGTAGTCTTCAGGTTGAAATGGTTTGTAGTAGCTTGTATGAGTCATTGGTTACCTCCTCCAATTTATTTGTGTGTACCTTTCAAGCTTTTGCTAGCAGACTTGAGTTTTAATGAGAACTCAATAATTTAAGGTATGAAAATTGTTTATTGCATACGTTTCAAAGATCTATGGAGTGTCCTAGTCTGGTTCTTCTTACTATTTTCATCACGTCTTTGTATTTCACCTTATCATTTATGCATATATGAATAATAAGCTGCCGTAGTTTATTGTATTGGTAACTAAAACACAATTTCTGGTTGTAGTTTTTCAAGACCTTACAAGTTTCTTGTTATATAGAGTACTCATCTAATGTCCGACTGTTGGTGAAATCAATTGCTGAAAGTCTATAAATGTGTTGATGAATATAGGTCCTATTTACATTTCTTGGTATTATGAAGGATATGCATATCTGTGACTTCTGTATGTGCATGTATGTTAGCAATTGTCAAAAAATTTGCTGGTTTCTTTTATATTGAGTTCTCCTCTTCATATGCCATGATTGATGAAGTTGCCTGCTCAATGTTTGTAAATGTGTTAACAGATATAGTCCATATCTATTCTTTGTACTAAGAAGGATATACTTATGTGTGATATCTGTATCAATATGTATGTGCTTTGCATATGTTTGCTAGCTAGCTTTTGTTGTACATTGAACAATTTCTTGGGGCCAAGCAGTGTTTAGTTGGTAATTATATGTCCTTTACCTCCCATATGATACTTACTATTGTTTATTTGTCAAAGATCTGCTCTTTGCTTCACCAAAGGTATAATGATTTCTCACCAAGTCTGATACAAGGGCTCCTGAAAGTCTTCTTTCCTGGAAAATCTGGGGATGATTTGGATGCTGACAGGAACTTTAAGGCAATGAAGAAGCGTAGCACTTTGAAACTTCTTCTTGAACTTTACTTTGTTGGAGTTATAGAAGACAATGGAATCTTTATCAATATCATTAAGGATCTTACCAGCACAGAGCACTTGAAGGACCGAGATGCTACTCAGACAAATTTGACTCTTCTCGCTAGCTTTGCTCGACAAGGGCGAGTGTTTCTAGGACTTCCACTTTCTGGTCAAGAAATTCAAGATGAGGTACATCCTTTTTTGTTCTTTAAAATAGCCTAATAGTTTCATCTTGGATTGTTTTTGTGAAGCTATTATGGCTTTGCATTTTGACTTCCAGGTTATTTGTAGCTTTGATGTTCATAGTGGCAGTTTACCCTTTGTTATTGGCAGCAGAAATTGGTAGATATAGGTTGGTTATATTTGGATTGATTTATTGCCAGCCTGATTGCCTGTTTATACCCATTTATTTGTTAACATCAGCAGCCATAACTATTAATTTCAGATCTTTTCCTTCCTTCACCTGATTAAATATTTTCTGCTGTTGAGAAACATGGTCAATTTGTATAATGTTTAAACTAAGACTTAGGTTAAGTAGCCAAAAAACCTATTAAAACAATCAATAATCTAACTGAAATTGGTATATGTATGTATATATTATAATTGTTAAATGTATCTTTGGCAAAAGTGCAAAAAGAGGAAGAAAAAAAATTGATCACAGTGGGCTTTATTGATAGTTTGAATAAAATGGCGTGCCAAGTGGTTGACAAGCTTGCCATTGCCATTGTTGCCCCACTAGAAGCTCGACCTGCTGAGATCTGACTCAGTAATCCTACTAGTCTTGATAACTCAGTTGTGGTGAGTTAGCCATGTTTGGCAAAGAGGTCCTCAGTGACCTCAAGGAGCATATGATTAGGGGTTATGCTGGTGGTGGGAAGTGAGCCTCTGATCGGTCTCTTTGGGATGTGGCAATGAGGCTAAACTCGGTAGTAATAGAAGTGAGGTTTATGGTGATGTGAAGTGAGAATGCTGAAGTTATGATGGATGAAAAAGGGGTTTTGGGAGTCATATGTAGTTACCCACACCTTCCCCTCTTAAACATGTTTATATCTGGGGTCAATGAATTCTAACCCATTTGTAACCACTAACCAGAGGTTGAATTAATTTCACTAACACCAGGTGGGTAGAGGGATATGCGTTACAATAGTCACCCCTCTTTGTAACTATTAGATGATTCTATCTTGCTTTAGTGGTTGTATTTTGGTAATGTAAACTTTTTAGTCATGTTTGGTACGCAAGATTATGATAGGATACGATAAGATGATATTATGAATAAGATTGGATTAAATAATGTTATCCTATCTTATGTTTGATGTATGCAAGGATTAAGATAGGATAATATATTTATTAGTCAAAATTATTCATCCTCAAAATTTATACAATTTAAATTATTGATGTAATTTTAAGGGCATAATGGGACATGTAAGTTTCATCCCATGGATTAAAACTAATCCTTTCCACTTTGGGAGGATTGAATCATCCTATACCAAGAGGATGATAATCTTCCTTGTAATCCTATCCCTTTCAATTAGATGCAAAAGAACATAATATAGAATGATTATCATACTATCTTATCCATCATCCTATGCACCAAACATGACCTTTATTTTGTGTGAAAAATTGTTTTGCCAATCTTTGCTAGACCTTAGTTTATAGCTTCTCTGCTGACAATTTGATACAGTTCTTTAAGGGCCTTAATATCACTACGGATCAAAAGAAAGCTTTTAGGAAGTCATTCCATGCGTATTATGATGCTGCCACTGAACTTCTTCAGTCTGAGCATGTGGTAAGCTTTTGCAATTGGAATTTTTACCTTTTAGGGCAATAAATGTTGAGGTTCTAATTTGGACTTATCCTTAGCCATGTCTTTTGTTCTTTGTGTTCCATAAATTAGAACACTTAATTTCTTTCATTATCTTTTTCTTTCTTTCCCAGCTGCCCTAAATCATCGGGTTTTTCTTTTTTAGTCACTTCGCCAAATGGAGCATGAGAATGCCAAGATTCTAAATGCTAAAGGAGAGCTCAATGAAGAAAATGCATCTTTGTATGAAAAGTTGCGAAAATCTTATGATCATTTGTACCGCAATGTCTCATCGTAAGTTGCTTTATAATGTCATTGTCATGGTTCTTTATTCTAGTGGCAACTAGATTAATGGGTCTGTCAATTGATATTAAGATTGTCTGGTGATTATGGTATCATATAATTTATTTTATATAGTAATCATAGATGTTTAGATCATGCCTGAACCTTGAATAATGTTACAAGTTTATGGGCATTGACTAATGATGGAGTTGCATTCTGATATCTTTACTCTTTATTTCGGGATTAAGGGATATTTTCTAAAGATCAAACATCTGCTACATAACTAATAATCAGCATAAATGGAACAGAATATAAATTGCCACATCATACCATAAATATTCTGTGTTTCACAACTTAAATATTAGCTGCTTCTAGATGTTACATGCACTACATATGAATTAAGGTTTGGATTTTTAAATTGTTTGTCAAGAAAGGTGTAGTTTATGGGAATGCTTAATTCGGTAGATTACTTAATCTTTGGATGGTTAGTCGAGAAGTATCCCAAGTATAACTATTTTTTGGGAAGTGCAAAAACTAGAAGTAATGAAGAGCCTTCATAATAGGTTTACTGGTATTTCTAGCTTCAACCTCAATTTTGTAGAGTTTTGAGCACCATGTGGTAGACCAAGATTATTTTTGGTAATGTCAAGATAAGACTATTGCTGCTGAGGTTTTAGTGATAGCTGTGATCTCTGAATTTGGAAATCTGTAGTGAATATTGTTGCATTAATGATTATAGTTCAGAGTATGAAGAGTGTGATTGGTGGCGAAGCATAAGTAGTAGTGGACTTGTCTATGATTTCTTTGGATTAGAAATGCTCCCTCAGATCATTTGAATTGTGTGTAATCCCAAAATAGCTCTTCCATTACAGAGTTTAGGAGCTAGATCCCTTATGAGATCCACCTAGTACAACTTGCACTTTCTTCCATGCAGGGTTTGAGCTTGATATATAAAGAATTGTGCTTGGGATCTAGAATTGTGGCAGAAATGCAGGGTTTGATCTTGACTCAGTGGTCTCTTTGTGATTTTTTGGATTTAATGATGTGGCTGTACAGCAGCTGATTGTATAAAGATTTAATAGAAATGGAATTATGGTGAAATGTTATTCTATTTGTCAAGGTTAGTGAAGAATCAGTTAATTATTTAATACTTAATGGCACCTTTGTAATGTTGGAACTTTAGACCTCTGTTTTCGTCACAATTTAGGGTTGCCCAGGTCTTGCCAACATCAGTGGCTAAGATGTTAAACCATTGTACAACTGTCAGATTTGTACTACTACTTCCACCTTGCTTTTCAGGATTTTTAGATTTTTCCCCTATTAAATATGCCTTTTTCTCAAGCATGCCTCTTCATCTAGAGTAAGCTTTATGTGAGCCTTTATTAGATTTCATTACTTACAAAAGAAAACCATTCATAATTGTCATTTTTTAAAAAAAAATCAATTCAAATTTTTTTCAATCCTTGTATTGCAGTTTAGCAGAAGCACTTGATATGCAACCTCCAGTGATGCCAGAGGACAGTCACACAACTAGGGTTAGTACTGGAGAGGATGCTTCATCTCCAGCCACTGGAAAAGAGTCTTCGAACCTTGAAGCTATATGGGATGATGAAGACACTAGAGCTTTCTATGAATGCTTACCAGATCTGAGGTATGTTGTGGCCATTATTCAGTTAGTTAAGAAGAGATATTCTCAATAGTATATTTTGTTGATGGTCATTTTTTGGAAGTTAAAGACGTTTTTGCTTGCTGTTAAGAGCATTGCATACATGTTCTTCTCAGAGCATTTGTCCCAGCGGTATTATTGGGAGAAGCTGAGCCCAAAATGATTGAGCAAACTTCAAAGGCACAAGAGCAACCAACTGTGAGTAGATCAAGCTTTTGAACATTATTATAGGCTTTCATCTATGGTTTTATACTTGCCAATAATGTATTTCCTTTTTGTGTTTCATATCAAGTATTCGTTGAGTTCAAGCATCAGTTGCTGATGTTCTGACATTTCATGTTTAATCCTTATGCTTAAAACTAAAGAAATCCAATAGTTCCCCAAACCCCCTCCCCCCCCCCCCCCCCAAAAAAAAAAAAAAAAAGAAGAAAGAAATTTGATAGAAATGAGGCATTTTGATCTGAAGAAACACATTCGGACTGAACCATTTCTTGATTTCTTAAATACCGTGCATCTAATCCTAGGCCAGAAATCTTGTTTCCTTTTTCTCTTTATGGAGGCAAGGTACAGGGTGGGGGAGGCTGAGTCAGTTTTCTAGATTTCTTGATTGTTTAACTTTGGTCTTCCTGAGCCCCTTGTGACAGATCTGATTTAAGATTCCTAAATAGTCCATCTCTATTTAATTATCTAATGATAATTTGATTTACCTTTTTAGGAATCCTCTATTGAAGCAGATCAAAGTACACCAGTTGCACAGGATGCTGTGGAGGCTTCTGTAGACTCTGGGACTCTGCAAGAAGGGAAAAGTATAGGGAAAGGGAAGGATAAAGAAGAAAAGGACAAGGAAAAGACCAAAGATCCTGACAAGGAGAAAGGGAAAGAGAAAGAAAAAGATACTGATAAAAAAGGAGAAAATGAAAAGGAAAAGCTCAAAGGTCTTGAAGGGACAAATTTGGACGCACTACTGCAAAGACTCCCGGGTTGTGTGAGCCGTGACCTTATTGATCAACTGGCGGTAATTATACTTCCTTTTTCAGTGTTATTGTTTTATGCCCCTTTTTTATGGGATTTTATGCAACTCTAGAAGAGTATTTAATTGTTCATTAAAATTTCAGGTGGAGTTCTGTTATTTGAATTCAAAATCAAATCGGAAAAGGCTTGTTAGAGCTTTGTTTAATGTCCCAAGGACTTCTTTGGAGTTGTTGCCATACTACTCACGTATGGTTGCAACATTGTCAACTTGTATGAAGGATGTTTCCTCTATGCTCTTGCAGATGTTGGAGGACGAATTCAACTTCTTAATTAATAAAAAGGTCTGCTGCCCTACCAATCTTCTGTTTGTACATTCATTCCTTTTTTCAAATATATATAACATTAATGTTAAAATTGAAACCTACTGCAGGATCAAATGAACATTGAAACAAAGATCAGGAATATTAGGTTTATTGGAGAACTCTGCAAGTTCAAAATTACACCAGCCGGCATTGTTTTCAGTTGTCTGAAGGTATGCGCAGAGTTATGGTCAATGTTGGCTACTATCCCAGTGCTTGTTCCTATGATGATAGTTCCATCTTATAGAAGTTTATAAACATTTTGAAGCTAAGAGAAGCTTTTGTTGCTATCGTTTTCATGTCTTATAAGTTATAACCTATAAATGCAAACTTGTTTGAAAACATACAGTAAGTTTCTGATGGTTGCTTATTCTATTTTTATCTTGCATCAGACATGTTTAGATGATTTCACTCATCATAACATTGATGTCGCTTGCAATCTTCTTGAGACATGTGGTCGTTTTCTATATCGTTCTCCTGAAACTACCATAAGAATGGCTAACTTGTTGGAGATATTGATGCGCTTGAAAAATGTAAAAAATTTGGATCCTCGACAAAGCACACTTGTAGAAAATGCTTACTACCTTTGCAAACCACCTGAAAGATCTGCACGGATCTCTAAAGTCCGTCCTCCATTGCACCAGGTCGAATTTGCTTTTCATGTTAAAGTTTTCTACCTGTTTTGATGTTAAAGCTCCCTACTGAGTTCTGTTGGATTCTTTCGCAGTATATCAGAAAATTGCTATTTACAGATCTTGATAAGTCTTCCATTGAGCATGTGCTGAGGCAACTTCGTAAATTACCATGGAGTGAATGTGAATCATACCTCTTAAAGTGCTTCATGAAGGTTCACAAGGGGAAATATGGTCAGATTCACTTGATTGCTTCTCTCACTGCTGGTTTGAGTCGCTATCATGATGAATTTGCTGTTGCTGTTGTCGATGAGGTTAGCTTCTCGAATTAGAACTTGTTCTTGTTGAGTTGATATTTCATTTTCCTTTATCTATGTTATCTGGATTTCAAAGGACTTGCTACTGTATATCATTGTGCTTATATTTGTGTAGTCAGCTGTATATTCCCTTAAGATTCGCAATTTGCACTGACTCAGTGTTGCAATGGTGAGACATGCTAGTCTGGAACATATGGTCTCTGACATATGTTCTTTGTAATATATTAAAATTCCTTTTGGTGTATACCTTTTGTGAACAGCTGAAACACTATGGGCTGATTTGTAGAAACTGAAAAATTACCAATTAGGCTTTTTTTTTTGAGCTCAATGTATTATTTAACTTGTAGAGTTTTGTTTCATAATCCATCTGCCGTGTTTTTGAAGTCAATCTAGGGAGAAGTTCTAGTAAACATGATATCGTGGTCTTCGGAGGTTTCCTTATGCTTAAGAGCTTCTATTCTTTTGCTTTGTTGGGATGGCAAGCTACAAGAAAACAGATTTCTCATGACCTGGACTGTTATGTTTGTTTCCTCCCAGTGATTGGAGCTAGGTATTACCCTTGGTGTGGAATAGCTTTCTTGTAGGGGAAATATGCTTGGAGAATGCTCTGCCCTTTAGAAGGTTTTGTATTTTAGGGTTCTACTAGGTCTTCTCAAAATTAAACTTGTTACCAGCCTAACTGTTGCTGACTCCGATGCAAGACTTTATTTAACCATGTTGGAAATATTATTAGGATATTCTAAAAACGTATAGCTTGTAACATTATAACCTACTATTTTCATTAAGTTTACTTTCTTAGTTTCTGAGATATTTGTGCTCATTTTGTTCTGGTATTGTCTTTCCTATGGATGATTATGTCAAATTCTTTTCAAGCATAATCTTCCTTACAGACGAGTGGAAGCGTGCATACCTATGTTTTTTTTTTTTAATTAATTATTTCTTGTTTAAGTTTCAGTAGTTATATTCCTTACCTTCAGGTTTTGGAGGAGATTAGGCTTGGTCTGGAATTGAATGATTATGGTATGCAGCAGAGACGCATTGCTCATATGCGTTTTCTTGGGGAGTTATACAACTATGAGCATGTCGACTCTTCTGTCATCTTTGAAACACTCTATTTGATGCTTGTTTTTGGCCATGATACAGCACAGGTATTAAGTCATTCTGTTTATTGTTGTAAGTATCAATTATGTAGGGTTTATGTGGCATGCTTGAAAGGTTCAGCAATGGTGCTTTCTAGGTACTCAATCAAAAATATTTTTACCAGTTTTGTTCCTTGAACTTCTTTACAAATGCATTCTGAGAGTGGAGTTAATGTCGTAGAACAGATTGGAAGTTTAGGGCAAAGGCTACAGGAATTGGTGAGATTTGATTCAAATGAGACTTGGATTCCAAAAGAGGACTGGAATTGGAGAAAAGGTTCACTGGGATTTCTGGTTAGCAGAAAATCTCAGGATAAATCAAGCTTTTGAATGCTGTGAACACTGACCCCAAGAATATTGTAACAAGAGAGAAATAGGAGAGTGCAATCTTCCTAGATAAGTAGCTAGTAAATAGCCAACTTGGTCGCCAAGAGACTAAACTAGACTCCTGGAGACTCCTAATTTAAACTTTACAAGCTACATGCTCAACCATAGAGTACAGAACTTGCAGAAATTATGATATTACCTCTGAAGAGTAAAATATTGAATATTCCTAACAGAAAATGCCAAATTCCTAGAATTGAAGTTATATAGGGAAAAGTAATAATTAAGGTCTTCAATGGCCACACTATTAATGGTAGACCTGGTAATATAAAACACGACACAGTGACATGCATGAACACGATACGAATAAAACACAAGTGATACGATTTAAAATTTTAACAATAACTATATATGGGTTTAATAAAACCAAAAAAACACATTTCATGTTTTAGTGTTGATATGAATTATGATACAAAATTTTCGTGTAAAACACGGCACGAATACGTGAATTTCAATATTTTAAACGATATGAATACACAAATCGCTAGGTTTAATTAATGGTTAGGAAATAAGATGGTCTACAAGATTTAAATGATTTTGTTGTCATTAAGTGTGCATTTAATTCACTTTTAATTAGTATTTAATTCACTTTTAATTAGTATTATGATTTGATTAGTTTCTGCATTGTCAGCACGATGTCCTCGATCCACCCGAGGATTATTTTCGAATCAGGATGGTAATTACTCTTCTTCAGACATGTGGGCACTACTTTGACCGAGGTTCTTCCAAGAGAAAACTTAATCGATTCTTGATACACTTCCAGAGGTATATTCTTAGCAAGGGTGCCTTACCAATGGATATTGAGTTTGACTTGCAGGTAACCAGAAATGCACTAGTCATTATACGTTCTAGAATTTTCATTTGGAGCTAATCATGGAAAAAGAATGATCAACTCTTTTGATGGTGCGATCCATGCCTGTAGAAATTACTTGGAATAGTAGCATAGATACCTTGTTTTAGGGGGCTTTTTATAGATGATAAATTGGCATTCTAATTAGTTCTCTGATCTTGCAAGCATGGATATGTTTCACCATTGACTGTAATCCATGCTGCTTTAGCAAACATGTCTTAGCATTGGTGTAGAATATTCAATAGTCTGCATGATCTCCACCTGATTGGTTATAATAAAACTTAAGGTATTCTGGCAAAGATAATGAAGCTTCCTCTATAAATAATTAGGCTTTCCTTTGTGTCCTTTGTATATTTTGTTCTAAGAATGTCTGCCTGTGATGTCTAAATGTGATGAGCTGACAAGTTGAAGAATATGCAGGACTTATTTGCAGAGTTACGTCCCAACATGACCCGGTATTCATCTGTGGAAGAAGTTAATGCAGCTTTAGTAGAACTTGAGGAACATGAACGTGCTGCTTTAACTGACAAGGCTAGTGAGAAGCTCTCCGATACTGAAAAGCCTTCTGATGGGATACCTGCCCATTCCATCTCAGCTGATCGACCAAGCATTTGGAATGGTTCTGAGGAAAATGGAGTGCATGAGGAAATTGGTGACAGTGACAGTGAATCAGGGAGTGGCACCATTGAACCCGAGGGAGAGGATGATTTGGATGAAGAGAATCATGATGATGGATGTGATACTGATGTGGAGTATGAGGAGGATGGCGGACTGGCATCTGACGATGATGAAGTTCATGTCAGACAGAAGGTAGCAGAGTTGGATCCTGAAGAAGTAGCCAATTTTGACCAAGAGCTCAGGGCTGTAATGCAGGCAAGCTTTTGTTTGTTTTTAATTATTTCTGTTGCATCCCTTTGTCCATTTATTTGTTTATCCTATTTTAATATTAATTTACTTGAGAATATACGTCAAAATATCTGCTATGCTAAGTACTGCTAATAATTTTTTATTTTCTTTGTCTAATGTGGTTTGCTGGGATCAAATTCAGTTAGGAAGAAATAGTTGGCTTTGCTGTCCATTTTAATTCAATTTTAAATGCAGGAGAGCATGGAGCAACGCAAGTTGGAGCTAAGGGGCCGACCTACATTAAACATGGTGATACCAATGAATGTGTTTGAGGGTTCTATTAAAGATCATCATGGACGGGTAGTTGGAGGGGAAAGTGGTGATGAAGCATTGGACCAAGAGGCTGGAGGGAGCAGAGAGGTGCAGGTGAAAGTTCTTGTGAAGCGAGGGAACAAACAACAGACAAAGCAAATGTATATTCCTCGCGATTGTACTCTTGTCCATAGCACAAAACAGAAAGAAGCAGCCGAGTTTGAAGAGAAACAAGACATTAAGAGGCTGGTCTTGGAGTATAATGACAGGGTAGAAGAGGAGAATAACGGACTTGGAACACAGACATTGAATTGGCCAAGTGGGAATAGCAGAGCTTACAGTCGTGGAAACTCATGGGAAGGATCCGGTGGGAGGACTGGGGGACCACGTCATCGTCATCATACCCATTCAAGGAGTGTAGCTTATTATGGCAGGAAAAAGTGAGTTTCACAGAAGCAAATAAAACATTTTGACGTGTGGGCATATCATCATATTTTAGCATATGTTGCCTACAACAGAGAAGGATTGTAAACAACATAGGCATGCGCTCTCACTCTACTGCCAGCTGGGTGAATGATCTCTTCAGGTGCAATTCGAAATGGAATTTTGATACTACTTTTGTCCTGCGACAGCAATCAGGCCTTCCTGCAAGAGGATTACTGTTTTATCGATTTCCTCGTACAGGCAAGGTACACATACATCTGACCTGATTTGTTGCCAGAAAGTAGTGTTAATCGGGAGTACATACAACAGATTGCCACGTGTGATTTTGGGAATGATGAACTGAAGATAAAGCTTTAGGAGTCCTAAAATTAGAGTGGTTCCTGTATTTACTGTTGTATCTGTTAGAAAGGAAGAAATGGATTTTGATTAAACATGGCTTTGTAGCAACCCCAAGTGAAATTTCGATTCGATGATGTTTGTTTAATATCAGAAAATATCAATGCCACATATTTGGTCGGATTGATTGTGCCTGTTTATCAGAGTTGACAACACTTTCTTGATTCCTGATGGTGTTGATTTGCAGGGTGATAATCACCTCTTCTTGTTTCTACTCTTTAGAAGCTTGACATGTTGAAGTAAACTGGATTTGAAATTTTTCCCACTAGACTTCTGCTTAATTGGTATAGTTTTCTAGTTGTAAATTGAAGCTGTGCTATTTCATTTTTATTTGTGTTCGTTTCAATGACCTTTAATAGCATTTTAAGTAAATTATGATCTAATTAATAATTTTATGTAAGGAAAATATAACGAATAATAATAGCCAATTTAATAATTGTTTCAAAAGAAAATTATAGTCAATTTAATTAGTGCATTACCCATTATATATTATAAAGAAATGGATAAATATTCTATACATTGTCCCGTGTAGTTTTTAAACTCATTAGATACTTGTTTTATATGTTTTTATTTTTTAAAAAATATATTTTAATAGGATGTGTGGTAATTCTTTAACTTCAATTTTAATTTTATTAACGGTGCATTGGAAGATGTTCCTGGAGAATTAATTTCTTAAAACGGGCCATTTGAGTCCAACAAAGATAAAAATCCAAACCCAAAAGTCAGAGTGGGACCAAACTGAAACTACTCTATTTCAATTTGACTTCCAAAACGTATGTCCCTTTTTTTTTATTTTAATGGAATTTAAGGAGAAATTTTGATTTTAGTGTATTTAATATTAATTTTTTAAAAAATTATAAAAATTACATGATTTTTATTTTTTTAATGCTAAAAATTAAAAATATATAAAAAAGTAATAGTTTTAGAATGTTTAAGAAAGGAAAGAGTATAATTTTAAGATATTAAAAAAAAAAGAAGAAGATAAATGAAGAATATGAGATGAAGAAATTATAATTCTAATTAAAATCAATAGAAACACCTACTATTTGATAGGTGAATATTAGTCCAAAATTAGAATTTTCCTAAAATCTATTATCCTAGCACTATCCTCACCTTTGCATTTCATTCGTTATTATAAAAGAGTACACCCCACAATGATATGCTTAAAGAGGCTAAAAATGACATTAAATCTATGATAATATAAAGTCTATGGTTACCAACATATTCTACTAATTTAAAAAGGAGACAAGTCCCCTCTTTCAAATCCTTCTTGAAATTAAAATATCCACACTAAATCCTCTTCAATTGGAGGTTTCATTTACTCCACATTTAAAACAAATTTCTTGAAAAGAAAAGGCATGAAACAAAGTTTGGTGATTGGGAATTTGGTTCTCCATTTTCCTCACCGCCATAAACATTTCTAAAATATGCTTCACATTATCTATTGGGTGCTAAAAAAAAAAAAAAAAAAAACAATTATTCCAAGTTCACCTTTTACAGCTAAGACATGGGTGCCATAAATCCAACATGCGGTCCTAAGTTTTCCATTTTTGGGTATGGCAAAGGCCCACTTCGCCTTGTTTAGTGTTTCACATGTTCTTTCTTGAAGAGGAAAAAAAAGAAATTAATTATTCTTTTGAAAAAAATAATTAAACTATTTGCACCCAAAAAAAAAAAAAAGAAATCATTGAAAATTTTAAAGGATAACCAAAGAGAAGCAAAGTAGTAGGTTGACGTGTTGCTTAATGTTCCTAGATTGAGAAGGATTCTCCTTTTCTATTTTGGTAAACGTTTTAAAAGAGAATTCTAGTTCCACCGTCTTCTACAATCATTTTTTGAAGGAATTATTATTTTTATAAATAAATTTTACTCAAAAGATTTTATTTTAAATTCGTTTGATTAGTAGTAATTCAAGATGAAAAATGGTAATATCAGGACATGACAATGGTTTAATTCTAATATTTTCATCTTTTGAGTTTAGATTTTTTTATTAAAATATGATTTTATTTATAAAATTTTCTAAATTATTTTTATACTTTTGAATTTTATTACATCTAAAACTAATAAATTTGTATATTCATATTGTATAAATCATTAATAATTTATGTATTCGTATTATATTTTATATAAAATTATATATCACAATTCATATTAACAAAAAAACACATTTATTAAACCATATATAATTTTTTATAAAATTTTAAATTGTGTTATATATATATTTATATTTTTTCATATCATGTGTTCTTATCTTATAACTATAAGACATTGCTTATTTATTCATACAAGTTTTCTTGTGAACTTGCACAATAATCAACGAGAAAACTCTTTCATTCTATTTATAAAAAATAATGGAGCTATGTGGTATACGGCTACACGCTTAGCACCATATACATATATAATTTATAGAATATTAAAAAACAAGCAAACATTAAATTTCTAATAAAAAATCCTTGCAAATGGCCAAAGGTTGTGCTTTTGTTTTTTAATTAAAGAAATATTGTTAATTTATTATAGAAATATCATTGGGTACTGCTTAATTTATTAATTAATTATATATTTAAATATTATTGCATGTGGGCATCCATTATATAATTGATGGTGTTTTGGTTTATAAATTAGGTTAAAAGTTAGTACATATTGAGATATGAGTGGGGAACCATTAGGGACATGTATAGATGTTGAATTTTTTTTTTATACATGGATTTTCTACTAGAAATTAATAATTAATATGGTTAGGTGGTATTTGTTTAAGTTTTTTAAACTCTATCATATCCATTGATACCAAAATTTGTTAGGTTTTTTTATGAATAATTTGATTGCGTATTTTTTCATCGACTCTAGTTAGACGCAACATCTTTATTTGTTTCTGATCAGTTGAGAAGAGAAAAAAAACATTAACCCTAAAAAGATTTTTATAAATGGATTTGTTGGTCAATTAAATAACACAAACACACAATTTGAATCTATGATTCAATTCTAATATTATTCAAAATTTTATATTATATATTGCAATGTCTAGGTGGCATCAATGTTGAATTTTTAATTTTGTACTATTGTATACAAAAATGTAATTTTTATCAAAGAATTATATAAAAAATAAAAATTAATTAAGAAGACGCATATGAAAAATAGAGTACAATAAAAAAACAAAAAAAAAACAATTAAGCATTTTTAATTCTAAATCCATCCATTGAAAATAAAATAACATACTAATGATTTGCAATTTCCTTCTTCTTAACCTATCTATGTCAAATTATACATACATAAATAAAAAAATTTTTAAAAAAATATCGAGTTAAATCAACACAATTAATTCCAAAACCATTATGCAACAAACCATTCATTTTATTTTTTCAAAAATTAAAAAACAAAGTGACGTCTCTAGTGGGAAAGGAATCCTTATCTCCGCATGTTGTTTTTGTCTTTCATCACTAACGAAAGCCACCAAACAAACAGTAAGGGGTGACGTGGACGGTTTCTCCATTTCTACAGCACGTGCGGTAAAACCAAATTAACGGCAATTACGTAAATAAAAGAAAATGTATGACGGGAAACTTAAGAATTCAGGCGATGACTTTGGTATGAAAGGAGGACAAGAAGCCACGTTACCTAACGGCCTTTTAAACCTCGTACGGTTGCCGACAAGTACCACCTCATCCATGATCAACGTAAATAAAATAAGTACTTTCTATTTCTTTTTAATCTTTTATATCATCATCATTATATTAATTTTTTATTATTGGTTAGGTTATGAAATTAAATTCGTTATTTAGTAGATATATATCATAAAATCTTATCATGATATCTATTATTTGTATACCATAAATCATTTTAATATATCTTGATTGATTAATATATTTACAAAATTAAAAAATGTTGACATGACTGTAAATTGAATTATGGGGCATTCAAAAATAAATTTTTATTTAAATAATTATATTTGTAATCCACCTTTGTGTCAATTGTAACGTACGTATTAAAATTATTAACTCTATTATGTATACAAATTAAATGATTGTATTATTTTTGTTTAAGATTGGATCGTCTTAATTATTATTTTAAAACTGTTCATTGAAGTGAGAACACTGGACAAAAAACAAAGCATACCAGCTGCGAAGTGCCGAACCAAATCTTTACTAATCTATAAAGTAAAATGATTATAAGTATTGTCCCATTTGAATGACCATATTTAGCTTTTCGCTAATGATGGATTTAGCATCCCTTAAAAGGAAAAATTATAACAAGAGGCAAACAATGATAAATAAAAAAGTCTTGAGTAAGACTCCAAGGTTTTATGATTTTGGACCCTTTGATAGCTATGGATCTTGTCACCAAGTTGTATCATTATTCTTGTTTAAAATTTTTTTATAACTCAAACTATGCTAAATATTAGATATTTGTATGAGTTGATAGACATGCTTTTTTGCCACGCATGATTCATGTTGTATCTTGGAAAAAAAAAATACTATATGCAATCATCATCTCTTTCTAGGCAAAGCATATTGTTTTTTAGTTATATAATTAATTTATTATTTTTTAATTGACAAGAAACCAAACTTGAGTTTTGATCTAATAATTCTTAACCTCTCATTGAGGGATTCTTTGTTAAAGTCTAATGCAACCTTGACAAAAAAAAAAAAAAATTGAACAAGAAAAGTTCTAAAAAATGAAAGAGCAAGGAAGGTGCAAAAATACTGGTGATCATTTTATTTACGTAACCTTTCCATATTAGGAAAATTTGTTTTTATATATATCACGTTTTAAAAATATATATAATTCCTTTATAATTTGTGGACAACCACCTTCATAAAATTAAAAAATGCATAAAATATTAAGAAGAAGAAGGATTGTGATATAAGCAATGACGTCTGCTTTGGAGCGGTTGTGCTTCATACAAAGGTACGGCCAAATCCTAAACAGCGCGCGAATGTGACAATTATCTTGTGACTGGGCCCCACCTTTCCTTCTTATCCTCGTCTCCAAAAGTATTCGACATGAACGTGGTAGCTAACCATTGGATCACTGTGGATCGAAGTTGATTGCTTGATTTTCGGAAAAGCAAAAGACGATTTAATTTGAATATTCAATTATCAAAGTATTACTAAAAATAATTTTGTATTTATCTTTTTAGATCTGATATGATTTTTCAAAAAAATTGAAAGCAACTATTGATAATTTTTTATTCTTATTTTTTTAATTTAAAATTTTTAATGAAATTATATGTTTCATGCCTTTAGTTTAAAGATTCACATGAAATAAGATTTGAACAAAAAAATTTTTTCAAATCAAAAAATAAATCTTGTGACATTTTTATTTTGATGAAATC